TCTATATGGTTGCGATACTGATGACTTATTGCCGAAACTTTTATCAGCCAATAATTGTCGGCTATCTGTAGTAATATTCGATCAGGATTCAATTTGTTTAAATGTATCTGAAGATGTTACAGCGATATCTTATCCAAATATTGAAGAACTTACAATAAATATAAGTGTAGCTAACGTATTACCACGTCTTTTCAAGCTTATACCTAATATTCGCCGTTTGTGCATAAATATCGAAGAATACTCTGGTAGTTCAACGTCCAAACAAGTATTTATCGATTTGTCACATGTTACGAATCTGATCAATTTTCAATTACATTCAAGGAATTGGTATTGGACACTTGATGAAATTACTGATCTATTACAGAAAATGCCTTCCTTACAAAATGTTGAGCTTAGCTTCTGTACCAATGACAAACGTTTTCTTACTGAAGAGACTTTGCTCATAATTTCACCATCGTCATCAATTCAAATCGACTACTTTATTCATTATCCATATTTGACATTGAACGACGATATAGAATATTTCGTTACTTCACAATCAAATCGTCCTTCAACTGCTTGTTTGTTAAATGATACACACGATCGTCTTATAATTCATACTAATCCTTGCCATCTACGTTCTATAGCTTTACCTGGATCAATAGCAAAGCAAATGTCATCTCGATCAAAATTTACACAAGTTGAAGATTTGTATATCTACTATGTATCATCTTTACTTGAGGTACTTCTAATATTGCATCATTTTCGTCGAGTACGAAACCTCGCTATTCATGTGCTCAATGGATCAGAAACACGTATGTATTATTATTTTTTTCAATATGGAAAATATTGTTGATCTATTCGAATTATGACGTAATGATCATCTTTATGCTTGATAAAATGTTTTTGGAAAAATTTTTATTTTGATAAGACCTTTGATTAATAATATTTGACTAATTTGAGGAGAAGTAATTTAATTCATTATGAACAAAAGAAATATTCTATTTTATACATCACTCCTTAATATTGAGTTAATTGAAAATTAGGAAATAAAATAAAATAATTATGTAGTTGTCTCTTTCAATAGTAACATTTCCATCATCGATGCAATCAATTGTATTAAGACTGCCTTGGCTCAAGAAACTTTCTATTAGTGGAATAATTGAACTATCACATCTGCTGAGTATATCTCCAAATCTTGACAAATTAAACGTTAACTTTAATTGTTTAAAAGCTTTGCTCGAAAATAACTCTACACATTGTATGTTACAAACTGGAATTACACGTCTTTGTATTATGGATTGGATAGATACAAAATCTGATTTAATGTTGACGATTGTGCAGAGATTTGGTTCCCTTTGTCATATTGCCATAGTTATGACGGATCCAACATTAATCGTTGATTCATTTGTATTGTCAATAATCCCTTTTTGGAAAATTAAACCAAAGTTTTCACTACTTGTCGAAGGTCTACTCTCCGAAGAAGTACGAACAAATCTTCGGCAATGGATCATTGATAATTCTTATCTAACAGAAGAAGATTCATTTTCGATTCAATACGATGAAAAGCAATGCAAAATATGGCTATAATATTTACTTTAATGTCAATATTGCTTTTTTACATTTCAATTGATCATAATGTAACCTGATAAAGATTTCTATGAATATATTGACTTGAAAAAAGAAAATATTAAATCTATTTCATTTTTCTTTCTTTTTTTTATGACAAAATAATATAATTCGATGATATAATTTTGATTATGTAAAAAATTTCTTTTTCTTGACGTAGAATTCATGAATCAGAAACAAGTATCTAACATTGATCTTAACCATTTAACAAATTGAGTTGACTCGAATCCTAAAAATCAAACGTCAACAAGAAGGAGAATGCTTGAATAGCATAAATTAATCTTTAAAATTAGGTTTTTTGTTTACAATTATAATTTGTGAGTGAAAACTTATCTCTATTGCACATATGAAATCACTAAAACTAAATCATGTAAGCACAAATACAGTATATTGTACGAATAATTAAAAAAAAACAGAAGCTACGTAATTCATGGGATGGAAAGATTAAGATTCGAATTGCATACAATATAATAGATATCACATTGAAATCAACGAATAACATGAAAATTCGAAGAATTTCTTGTTAAACAAAAGGATGAAATATGTGAAACATTAAAAGGAACAGAAAATAACTAGACTATTTTAATGTGTGAATCATACATTAATGAAAATTTCGACATAGTATCATTATACGTTAGCTATACACTGAGACTTTATGTGTGCTCTGTCTTTGCTCATGCCCTAAATAACGATAAACTTTGAAAATACCTTTACAAATCAATTCACATACTTTGAGATTTTGACGATTACAATATGAGTGTCGGCATCGAGTGTGTTTATCTAGTATGCATGTCAACCAACAAAAAGATTGATGTGTGAACTCGGTCACGCCTGTGAATAGATTTACACTGACACTCGTAGAAGTATGATTCATCAGTCAATGGTACTTGTTGATTTTCGATAGAAATCTAGTATTATGGTTTTAATGTTTTACTGTACGACACATTACCATTCGATATTTATCTCTTTCGAGCAATCAGAACTTCCTTCCCAGAAAAAGATCAATCACAAAAAATAACATGTTGTTCGATTACAAGCACGATTTCTCTTCATAAAAGTAACTGAGATATGTTCAAAGTTACAAATTCAAATATGATATGAATCTATTTAATTTTTCATATGTTAAGCAAAAGATTGCACTCTATGATATATTGAGTCATTTTGAAGCTATCCTGAAATTTTCAATATTTCAAAAAGTAGGACCTTCTAATTATTATATGAATGGTTTGATGTAATCAAATAATGTCCCTACAGAAATATCCGTATTTGATAAGATTCATTTGAAACTTCTGTATTTTCGAATAGATGATTTTTAATTGGTTTAAATTTAAGTATAGAAACCTTCAAAATTTCGTGCTGATATGATTTTCCTGTAGGAGTAATTGCTGAAATCGGATTATTTCTGACACGAATTTAATTGTTCGAACGTCTGAATATTTCGAAAATTTTTAAAAATTTGAGTCACATGTCTATTCTTTTTATTAGTTTTCAAGTTTTTATTTGAGCATACAAAAAAAAAACACAAAACGCTATTTTATTTATGATGAGAAGAGGCTCTCTGAGAATGATATTCATCGTTCTGAAAACTTGTGACTTCACATGATATGATCGAGCTCGTTCTTGCTAATATGGTTCAAGTAGCTAAGCACGAAGGTTAGAATATATCCATTTTTCGTAATTTTGATATAATAGTGTTACATTGACGGTCAATGCTTGCATGCTGAATTGTTCTTCATTGAGATTAATCTCTTGACAATCACCATAAAGGTTCACCTTGATGCGTGGACCTTGAAATAACTTTTTTGAAAAATTCAATGTAATCGCAGCTATTGTTTACATTCAGCCATACTTCATTTTTAATAGTAGAGGCTGTGATAGCTGCATTATCTTTGCTATTCAGTGTTTCGAGCCGATATTTGAAGAAATGGAAAAGAGATATAGAATTATCAACGTCGGTTTTGATAGATTCATACTCTAATCTATTGTTCATAATCAAGAACGGCATGAAAAAGCGCTCAGATAGAGTGCATATTTCTTCAAAGCTCATCAAATACCAATCTTTTGATTTTTCTATCGATAGACAAAAGAAAGCATTTTCATAACGATTATTACCCATATATCGAGTGTTCAATGGTACAGTTTCTTTTTTGTTTCGACGAATCTATTAAAAAATAAATGAATTATATAATAGTAGCACTTATAAATGACATTAAAACATGCAAATTTTATCTTAAAAGGCCACTTTTGTAGATGAC